ACGAATCAGGCTCAAATTACTCCTATGAAATCTACGAGGTCTAGGCCATAGATTCATAACAATAGTCGCTGAAAATGTTTTTTATGTAGTTAATGGGGTGTGGCACCACCCCTAAAAAGTTGTGGCTGCCACAGCTTTTTAGGGGTGGTGCCATACCCTAACTTACCTCCAGACAGACCAAATAGCTGCGTTTTTTATATCGTTGTTACTGCTTAACTTTCTTCTTTACATAGCAGCAATTTCATGTGAAAACGTTCTCCAATAGCAAGATATAATTGTTTTTTCTTATTTAGGGAGCTTCCAGACCGCGCAGGTTGCCGCTTTCGCGCCGGTTGCGGCTATTGCAGCCGAAGCGCATTGGGTCAAGCCATTGTTTCCGTAGCGCGCGTGTGGCACGAAAACTCATTAATCAATATATTTTTCTGCGTACGATGATGGGTCAAACATCAATGTGCTAATATTTTGCATGACAAGCCTATTTGACATTATTAACGAATATCATAGCGGACGCCTTGACAACGACCCCCCCTCCCTCCCTCCCTGATTCCTCATTACGACCACCCAGGTGTGGCATGCCACACCCCACGCTTGACCTTGTTTACCAACTTGAATGTTAAAATGCTCTGCCATCTATATCGGTGAGACTGGTCGCCCGTTAGGTGTACGTGTGAACGAACACGTAGCTAGCAAGAAACGGTAAAGTCTAATTAATTTACTGGGTAAGCATTGGAAAGAAGAGCATAAACGGTATGGATTATGACATAAATTGCAAGATCATAGCTTACGAGTCTCAAATATCAGCGCGAAAAGCACTAGAAGCTTCCTTCATGTTTGCTCGTAATCCGAAACTCAAAAGCAAGAATGGGAAGTTATCCATTACAAGTGATCTAATGCCTATCTGCCTTTCTGTAATGTATAGATTGTCCGCAGGTATATAAGCAAACAGATGAGTGAACCTCTTCTCAAGCCCTCTACTTCCACAAAGGACGAATCGAATACGCGAGTGGAAGACGGTGTATGTCGGAGAGAACGTAGATCAAAGTGACTGACTACTTTTAGACCTTCGACCACTGCGTATTGCCGAAACGTAAGGCAAATAAATTGTATCGTCACAAAAACCTGTACGGCACAAGAAAGTCATTGTAACTACTAATCACAAAATAATAGTGATACTTTCTTGCTCTTTTTACAAAGCACAAATGCTAAAGGCATTTTATTAGATTACACATGCTTAGGCTGTATGCATCATCAGTTCATCAAAACTTTGTTTGACTGTTCGTAGATCACTTTTGGATACAATTTGATGAAAGCGATAAAAAGGAGCGGTGAGCGTGTAAGAGGTACGGTGCGTCACCCAGAATCGTTCCCATATGAACCATCAAGGTGGGCGTCCCGATCATTTTGACATGTTAACTTCAAATAAGCGCCTTAGATCTGCTGGAGTTAATGTGCCAGAACATTCGAAAGGCAGCCACGTTGATGGTTCATATGGGAACTCTGGGGATGTACGATACATGCAATTTTCTTTCAAGCGTCTTTTAATGAGAAAATGGTTACGTAAAAGTGTGCACGCAGAATAAACTCAAATAAAAACGGACGGAAAGGAACTAAATGTCCAAATGACCCGATTGTTCTGTCTCACTATTTCAAAAAAGTAACTTCTTCGTGTCACAATTTCTTGCTTGGCATTGATTTCGTTAGAAAAAGCAAATCATGCGATTTTCAACGATATCTTGATTCCTTTCTTCTAAATATAAGTTCTGATTGTAGAGACAAAAATGGAAAAGCAAATTTTTTGACGTTAATAGTTTGTTGCACGCCCATTGAAAAAAAAACTGTGCGATAAAACTCAAATCGGACAATTTTCTCGTTTTCGGCTTTTCCCAAAAATCACAACTTTCAAGAAAAAGCTTGATTAGCACAAATTTTGCTCAGTCAGGAAGAGGCCAAACTCATTTTTGGATTTTTTGCACAGTTTTTGAATTTTTAACGTTCTCGCTGCAAATCACTGAACCTAAAAAATCTCTTCATTCCATTTCTACCTCTGCATTCAAAGCTTAATAAAGAATGTATTTTTTGAAAGGTGCTCAATTCATCCCTTTTAACAGAATCAATGCCAAGCAAAAACATTGTGAAGGGAAGAAGTGACAATTTTTTTGAAAATGGTGCGACAAAACTCTTTGAGTGTTGTTTGTTTCTTTAATTCAAACGACAGATACCATCAAATCGCAGCGATTTGAGGATAAAGGCAGAGAGAGCCAAACTACTGAGATTTTCACTATTTTACAATTCATTACAGATCGCGCAATTGCTATGCATTGACTTTGCCACTGGACTAAACTCAAAACTTCACTCCACTGAAAATGTAAAACGAATACTAAATGCGCCCATAATCTCAACGAACACTTATTGTTAGCTCCCCCGGCCCTGAGGCGTCTGTTTCCGCCGCCTGAACACCTGTCGATCATCACATCTCGCGTAACTTCGTGAGCTAAGCCGTTTCGATCAGCGTATTGATCAGTCGTATGATATTGTCGATCTTTTCGCCAGCTATAGATATATTTCCGTTATACTTGCATTTCGCTGTCATCGTTTTTTTTTATTTCATTTTCCTTTATTTATTCTCTGGAATTCGAGATGATGCTGCTGTTTTTCCTTCATATTTACCTTTATATTAGTAAAGATCCACACCCTGTGTTGGCGCTCTTTTTTATTTTGCTGTAGCTACAACAAGCGAATCTTATGCTTTTCGCGCATTTCTACATTCGATGAAATCAAGAAAAATCTTATGCGAGTCTTTGAATATCTGGGGGTAGGCGGCCCCGCGATTTCTGAACAAGCGGGCTGATTTCTTGCGGTCCGCTTGCAGATTTTAGAAAGAATGTTGGAAGATTTTTGGACCAACTCTCACAGAACAATTGCGACTTTTCATAGATTAATGGCGGCGCAGTGGCCGCATTCTCGCGTACTTTCCGCGAGAATATGCGAACTTTTCGAGGGCCGCACAGTTCTTCGCAAAGGACCGCACAGCCCACAGGTCCCTTCCCTCCCTTCCGCTGGGAGAAAGTACCCCAGACTCGGTTAACTAAACCATAGATGACGCCTCTGCCATATAGAGTCTTACCTTTGCGCAACGTACGCCCGAAATTGCGTAAAAAAAGTCCGAGCGTTCGCTGAAAAGAATATTTGACGAGCGCTTGCAGAAAACTCTGTATTGCTTCCCGCTGACAGAGCATGCGACAGTAAAGGAAGTACCGCCCGCTGAAGGTTTGAACAGCCCCAAAATTCTGCTGACCGCCTGCAAAAAAGCGCGAGTTTGCGGACCGCCTGCCCCCGGCGATTATCTGAGAGTGTGGTGGTGAATCGCCATTAAACTCAAACGTGCGGCAGAAAAACCCAAAAATCTCTTCTATTCCTCTCTGAGCTGTCATACTCGACCAGAAGTTGTGAATTTATCGTTATTTGTATTTCGATAATAATTCTGCACTTTGAACTTCATAATCACAAGACGTGCATGAGTATGTCAACCATTAGGATAAGATTTTTTCCGTGATGCACTCCTGCGACGAGATTATATGCAATATTCTTCGATTTAAGCGTAGAAATCGCCAGAACAAACATTATTATTCTCATAACATAACCGTCTCTTGTTGAAACACATGAACTACGTTTTAGCAGTAGCTAAAGCGAATAGACAAGATAAGTAAATGTTTCTCCCCTTTTCTGATCATAGTGGTAAACTTTTCCAGAGTACGTTTGCAATCACTTTTGCGACACTGCAATTTTATTGATCATTCGAACATATCGATGTGGTGATCGAGTCCCAAACTACTCTGTGATTTAACAGGTGGCGGCTGGAGGGCGGGGCCGCTTGGGCTCTACACCTTTCCCGTGAACGTGCTCGCTAACTAGGTTCCTATCACGAGCGTGAAAAAGGCGGACCTTCTATCACTAGACAGCACGATCGCGAAAGAGGTGCAGAGCTAGGCGAGGCGGCCGCAAAAACGTGTGCCCCACGCACTAGCCGCCAATCCTGTTGAATCAGAGAGTACGTGTTAGAGCTTGTAAGAATAGCAGTAGTGGTGTTTGGAGGTATGGAGAAAGTTGAATAGTTGCCTGTGACCTATTAAATGGAGCGTAGTGCTTCCTAACTTAGGCTATTGGCCATGCGCGCCACGCTCTTAGCTCTCCTCATATCTAACCGACTCTTCGAATCGCAACTTCTCCCACCTCTATATGTTTAGAATAATTGAAAAAAACCTAAGGTGGAACAAAGCAAACATCTTTAACTTCGGGAGTATGTCCTTATGCTGTGGAGGACTTCTGAATCAGCACACCTAAAATGTAAAAACAAGTTTATCTTTAGAATGGACAGCCATGCAATGTGAAGCGCATGGCTCTTTCGCGTAACGCCTACAACAGCTTATTTCAAGCTAGGATACCTTTCGCGTAAATTGATCTACCACTGTTTAAAAGCAGTTGCAGGATAATTTTCTTAGTACGATTTTCTGCCGTAACCTCTAGGTCTGACTGATGATTTTTCAAGCTTCGTTAAGAGTAAATTTTTTTTGCACATCCAAGCTTATCTTATCTGACAAATATTCTGCACGTATCGCTTCGTAGTATTTTTTACATCACTGCCACAGCATTTTCATATGACAGTAACACATTCATTCAGTAAAGCTGTCAATAGGGAGAGATTTTACATATTTGCTACGAATAAGTTGCATTGATTGATCGAACAACTGACGGGGTCCATGGTCAGCTAGTCATATGTGCCCTGCTCTAGCTGAGAACAACAACAATCCATCAATTTTCCTTTGGTGAAGTGGTCTTCCCTTTTCATGCTTTCTATGGGTTACTGACCTGTAACACACTTCGACGGTTCTTTATTTCTTGGACCTTTTAGCGAGTTGATCCCCGATTTCAAGGAGATCTCGTCAACCCGTATGCTTTATAAGGTCAAATCTGCGTTGCTGCGTAGGTGTTACATTTGCACAATGTATCCGCGGCTTAGTGCCTTGCGCAATCACACCATTGCACTTTTGGCAGGTAACGTTTGAACGCTCAAAAATAGAACTGTTGACAATACCATTCAGGGTTAGGTGATCAACTGCACTTTCCATGTAGGTGTTGCTCCTTGTCCTTACATCCTAAAGCTGTTTGCCAACAAAATAACTCACAGATTCAGCTGGCTGGCTATTCTGGGTGGAGCGCGGGAGGTGGGTCAATTTCAGTAAATTGCAAAGGTTACTTCTTCCTGCTTTCCTGATTCTCTTATAACGTATGTTCGTATCTTCCAATCTTGAAGCTTTTATCCTGTAGATTTTTCGTCTAGGGCTGCCTCTATTCCTGGGCAGCCAAAATCTGCAGAACTTACGTCCAGTCGCTCAGGTCATATCACTCTTGATTGCAAACGATTTTTTGTTATTTCACTCAGATGACAAGAACAGCAAAGCTGTTAAAATGAATCACTTAATTCTTACTAAGACTGCATTCGGTGGCCCAGGCAGATCTACGACTAGAGACGATCCTAAAAATCTATAGGGTAAGAATGAAATAAACATCAAAAAATACGATGAATGTTAGTCAAGATTGAAGAGAAATAGAGTGAGGAGAGCAGGCATCATGCATCGACTGAAGCTCGGCAAAAGGCCCAGACGATACGTTCGCTAACGCGGCGCAAGTGCTCAAGCGAGCGGCCGTTATGACCTGCGCCGCTCCGACTTTGAGCTCCGACTTTGACACTCACTCTGGGATATTCTACACCTTCTTATGCTCCCCCTACTCTCCGCCCTCCCCGCCCCCAGTTGCCAATAGTAGCCGCCTCTTCCGAGGACTACCGGTTTTTTAGTACCAAGTGTCCGCACAGGCAATGTCCCTAACTCCACTAAAAGTAGGATAATATCGTCGTTCCATGAATAGGCCGTAACTGCACATTCGGCATAAGCAGAGAACGCTTTGCATTTAGGTAGCGCGTTTGTACTCTTCAATTTTCGAACGCTAAAAGTTCATGTGCTTCACCAGATCCAGCGCTTTAATACACTCTGGAAAATGGTAAGCAAAAGCGAACAAGTACATATCAATGGAGCTACAGGACGGCGCATCCGTTTCTAACTACAAAATATGAAGTTGACCAAAACTTTTCTTCATGAGAGCTACTTAGAGAATTCCTAATATGCGTGTTTGTGTACCAAAACACATACACGAACAAAAGTTGCAGCATACCGCACAAGAGCGGAGAGTCTAATGCTTGCTTCATTTCTATTAGTTACCCATAACTGAGCCAATGCATCAGTTGAACTTGTTTAGTTGAGTTTTCTTCGCAATGTATTCATTGTCACTAAATGTAAAAAGTAAGACCTCCTCAGTTTGTTTCTCTATCAACAGTTCCATCTCAAATGCTAGCTTTTCATCTTTAGTAGATCTGTAGATTGGGAGAGTAACTGTACGAAACGTGAGAGCCGGCTTATTAGTACTACACCTATCGTAATGACAGTCAATATAAATTAAGACATACAACACACAGTCATGGCAGAATGGATATGCATAAGAGTATCTGCATAAAGGGGGACGAGTGGCGTAGTGGTGTGAGGCGCCGCTACGACCAGATCGGACACAGCTTCGATCCCCGCCCCTGGGCCAACCAAGCCCTCTACGCTCCGGGGCCGGTAAATTGGTACCAGAGTAATCTGGGAGGATAAAAGCACTGACTTGGAAACTGCTGGCCCCCGCAAGTCACTGTAATAGGCTCGCACGCATACAACTGCCTCTTCGACCATGAAGTTAGTGTGTGCGTTCGGCGCATGCCCTCAGAGGGTATTGAAGACGCCGAATCCTTTATCCTTTATCATTTTATCTGCATAAAGACTACTGCATAACGAAGGCGCAGAAGCAGTATTAGTTGAGCGGGCGCGAACGCGGCGCGCCCGCATTTTCACCGTTGCAGACCGTGCGACTCATGCGCTCTCCGACTAATGGAGCCGTCCAAAGATATTGCGCCTTCGGCAGCAGCCTATGAATAAAGCTGAATGTCTGTTTGTCTGTGTACGTATGTTCCAAATAGAAATATTTATCTCTCAATCTAGCCCAAACCACGCTTGGCAAACATACACCTCGGGGCGGGGCGGGTGTCGTAGGCTGTTCTTCGTCATTGATTGATATCGATTTTTTGCAAACCCCTACCTATGAGCCTGGGATATGGTACAGGGGTAAGTGCGCATGCTGATTACGAAAATATTATTAACAGGGCTGGGCGCAGCCGGATTTGCCAGCTAGTCACCAATTTGGGGTGGAGGACACTATGTCGCTGAATGTGAGGGAGTCCCGCGCGGATTTCTTGCAGGAACGCATGTCCGCGCACGTACAAGGGTGCGTATTTGTCGCAAATGACCGCGGGGACCGCCCTTTTTCGGCGACATATAGTCCTCTACCCACCAGTTTGATGCAATCAGTGACAACAAAAATTCCTGTGTAGCTTAAATTCCTCGCCTTCCCTTACAGAAGATGCTTTCCGCGCCATTTTTCGTTGCGTGTTGTGCTAAGAAAATAGGATGTCTGATTTTTTAATACTTTTCCGTTGTCAACAGTTTCATATCATATCTCTCCAGCTACGTGCCGTTCCTTTGTTGCAAGTTGTTATATGATGCGCTCAGCTGTCGCTGGCAAGCAGCTGACGAGAGTAGGGGTCCTGCAAGTGCATTCGAAAGTTAAGCGTTTTCATTTCTCTTTTGAATATTTGCTCCATTTTGAAGTGAATCTGATATAGAGCCAATGAATAGAAAGTCGGGAATTTTGCCACAGGTTTATGTTCAGAATCAGCTGTAAATCAAACTTGATAAAAGCCAGAAGTACTTAATCGACCACCTCAATCAGCTGACACAAGGCCACTGGTTACCCTATTTGTTCGCAAGTTTGGCAACTTTTCTGTGTGAAAAAGCTTACTGCATCTCTATTCAACCTTGTTAGAGCAATAACACGAACTACTGCTCCCTGAACTGTCGAAATGACGATTGCAGTGCCAACAACATTTAGATTAAGTAAATCTACTTATAACTAAGAAATCGCAGAATTTCGTCTCAGAGAATAAACATTTTTGAGATAAAGTTTATGCAAATCTTTGGAAAGCATTTCTGCCATCTTATGCAACAACAAAGAATTTCACTTTTCCTAGTAATTCGGAAATCTGTAAGAGCCAGGTTGTTTGGGCGTGGGTAGGCAATCTCATTTCCTTGTTTCGCAAGGAATCATTCTTCTCGAACTCACGCTTTGGAAATATCAAAAAATCATTTTGCAAAATGCTAGCAGTAAATATTTGACAATTGTGTAGCAAACACGCGAATGCTTAATATTGATACCTTCAACCTAAAGCTTGGCAATCTCCTTTTGAGTTTTGTCTTGTCAAAGAAAAAGCACCTGGGGCAATATTTGGCAATTCCGATTTGATCAGGCGATTTACCATTATAAATAGTGCCCAAGAATAGATTGATGAAACAGCGCTTGATCAGAAAATGTAATTGGGATAGCTTACATTAGATTCGAAATGCTGTTTATTATATTTCATAGGGGTATTTCCAAATTTTGGCATCTTTCATAAAGTGTCTGGAGAATACCATAATTTTTTAGCCAAAAGCATCCTCGTATATCTGATGCTTTCAGGTTCGAGGCGTATATTTTTGGTCAGTAATTGTATAAATAAATTTGGGACTTTTGACGTATTGAGCAAATCTTTTCGTATTATTAGCTTATTTTTGCATATTTGGATGAAAGGTTTTCCTTACTTTACAATTGTAGTCGCTCATCTTTTTCTTCTATTCTGGAAAAATGGAAGAGATCAAATAACTTTGCTTTCTCTTTTGATGGGCTCGTAAATTTTCCAAACAAAAGAGACTTTCCAAATGTGAAACAGAAAACATTCTCAGATCCGCTCTATCCCCTCCCCCGCCCCGAAATTTTTCACCACTTTCGTCCCGAATCATCTGTTCGCTCTCTAGATCCCCTTGTGCTTAGTAGATGCTAATTCCTTTTGTGTCAAGCCGGCACGTCTTTGTCCCGGTTACTGTAATTATGACGCTGAGCAGCGGGATTTACATTAGTCTTGTATGGAAATACGATGACGCTACAGTATTATCACGCTCCAGCTGAGATGTACACATAGAGCGAAGGGGGGAAAGGGGAGGTTACGGTAATTTTGACAAAAATGCTCTCGTCGTTTTAGCGTACAAAAAAACGTTGCAGAAAAGAGATAATGACTGCGGGTAACACGCTTTGTGAGAACTCTCAACATTTAGGGTCAAGTTTTTGCGCAACACACACAGTCTCTTACGTTTTGCGACAATTATAGTCAACGATTCTCTTCTCTTCTATGTGTGCGGCAGCGATTAGAGACTCAAAAGGGTTCCGGAAGGTCATTTTAACGTTTAGCGTTTGTCCTCTATCGGCACACGCACTGAACTCAATGTTGGTGTGTGCCATGAATAATTAGCATCGTTTAGAGTAGTTAAGCTCATTGACCTACAGAGGAATGTTGGAAGAAAAAATTAACAGGTTCCGCTTTGCGAAGTTATCTGAAGTGGGATGGAGATAGAAAAGAGGTCTTGGTTTGCATTAGTGGCAGTTTTCTTAGTGTTTTGAACCTGCTCAGCTACTCTTGTCATTTACGTTCGCAAGAGCTGAGACTTCTTCGGTAGAGTTCTTTCCCGTTCGTCTTTTCTTGAATCTTTTAAAAACTCAATGAATCAATCTCAGCACTCTCAAACCCTTTGGCTGACAATCATGAAAATTCTCTCAAAGTCAAAATCCTAAAATTAATTTGCCTAGGGCTTCATTCCTAATTAAAATTAATTGGAATAAAGCCCTAGGCAACCCCTCTATGAAGTGCGCACTAAGCAAACAAACCGAGTTGAAACTATGCATGATTCAGCAGCGCAGACAAAGGTTAGGCCAGGTTAGTGCGGCAGCGTTGCGGTTGCAGCACATACTTCTACTGCTATGCAGCCATCCTACCTTTGAGACTCGGACTGTAGAAAAATTGACGTAAAGGTGACAGCCATTCACATTGGCATAGATTTCGTTATCTATCAGGTGAATTATCAGTTATTTTGTCTCTTGAATATTCTTTAGATGGGGTTGTCAGTAATTTCTGGAACAGACATTGCTATGGTTTTTTCTGCGCTCAATTTCGCTCGCTATCAACCTTGAGCGCATTTTTTCAACGAGCACTAGAATTCAAAAATCTCCGAGTAGCATGAACCACCAACTTGTTTGTAGCACCCAAAATGCTTTTAGTGTTGACCATGGCTCAGAAACTTACCCTCTATATCTTTTGCTTGTGTTCTTGTTTAGAGCTTCAGCATCAACCTCTTGCTATGATTTTTTAACCGCTAACTATAACTTTTTGGAAAAAAATTTTAGGCATTTCCACAATTGATTTCAGTTGATTATTTAATCAACAACATTCTGTTACAAAAATGCAACATATGCTTTTTTTTATTAAAAGAATCACCTGATCTTTACGTTTTTCTTTACAACGGCATAACAGCCGCTGGAGCAAGAGGTCTGCATAGCTTACAGCAAATAGTTTATCCTGTGCTCTTCATCTTTCTTATTGTTAGTTCCCTAGTTTTTTGGCCTATGATATACAGAAGTCAACGTTGTCGACTGATTTTAAGTGCTAAAATGGGTTCTGGCGTATTACATGAACTACTTATTTATTTTACATCAAGATCGAGTCTTTCATTATAAAGTGTGTCCATATGGCCACCAAATCTATTGTAAAAATTTTTATCTGAAAGTGTCTTTTCACTTAGTTTGCTGCTTCTCGTTATGACCTGCAGCATTTTGATTTGCTTCGACTCCCTTTAATCGATCGAAAAATTGGAAAGGCTGATCATAGTCATGGCGAGGGCGTGCTAGTAAAATAAAGGAAATCAACTTAATAACCCTAAATCATGTTGGAGAAAAGTCTGCCAAGTTGAGGATTGATTTAAATAATAATGTATGTGAGATTAAACAATACTTGTCCTTAGTCTCAAATTCGCAAGAGTCAAGTGTGAATTTCTCCAAAAATAAGTGGCTGAGCTGCCATGAAAGCCATAGGTTGCAAATTGGCTGTGATT